TATGTCACTATAGACTTACCACTTACTAAACTCATCCATGTCACTATAAACTTACCACTAACTGAACTCATCCATGTCACTATAGACTTACCACTAACTGAACTCATCCATCTCACTATAAACTTGCCACTAACTGAACTCATCTATGCTACTATAATACCACTTACTAAACTCATCCATGTCACTATAAACTTACCACTAACTGAACTCATCCATGTCACTATAGACTTACCACTAACTGAACTCATCCATCTCACTATAAACTTGCCACTAACTGAACTCATCTATGTTACTATAGACTTACCACTTACTAAACTCATCCATGTCACTATAAACTTACCACTAACTGAACTCATCTATGTCACTATAGACTTACCACTAACTGAACTCATCCACGTCACCATAGACTTACCACTAACTAAACTCATCCATGTTACTATAGACTTACCACTAACTGAACTCATCCATGTCACTATAGACTTACCACTAACTAAACTCATCCATCTCACTATAGCCTTACCACTAACTGAACTCATCCATGTCACTATAGACTCACCACTAACTGAACTCATCCATGTCACTATAGACTTACCACTAACTGAACTCATCCATGTCACTAGACTTACCACTTACTAAACTAATCCATCTCACTATAGACTTACCACTAACTGAACTCATCTATGTCACTATAGACTTACCACTTACTAAACTCATCCATGTCACTATAAACTTACCACTAACTGAACTCATCCATGTCACTATAGACTTACCACTAACTGAACTCATCCATCTCACTATAAACTTGCCACTAACTGAACTCATCTATGCTACTATAGACTTACCACTTACTAAACTCATCCATGTCACTATAAACTTACCACTAACTGAACTCACCCATGACACTATAGACTTAACACTAACTGAACTCATCCTTGTCACTATAGACTTACCACTAACTGAACTCATCCATCTCACTATAGACTCACCACTAACTGAACTCATCCTTGTCACTATAGACTTACCACTAACCAAACTCATCCATGTCACTACAGACTTACCACTAACTGAACTCATCCATGTCACTATAGACTTACCACTAACTGAACTCATCCATGTCACTATAGACTTACCACTAACTGAACTCATCCATATGTCACTATAGACTTACCACTAACTGAACTCATTCATGTCACTATAGACTTACCACTAACTGAACACGTCCACTTTCCAATACTTGGGGATCTATACATGGCAAGCTTGGCTCACTTGCGTATCGGCCAAATGCTGTTAAATTATTAGTTGCAGGATTTGTTGTATTAGCATTGCCACTATGTGGACGGAGACTGGACGTACTTCCATCACTGCTGTAAGGACCAGCTTGTGTGTGAACCCATCTGAAAATTGTAATTTTATTTATAATCGTATACATGTAGTAAAGATTACAATAATGGAACATAACTGTTAAACATAATTAACAGGACCAAGTGTAACACCATAAAGACAGTGTTATAAGTAAAATATAAAATATAAAAATGTTGACAGTTCATAAGTAAAAGCTTTGAAGTCAGGAAGCAGGGTCTTACTTGACATCGCAATGCCTGCTGTCAATTTTGTAATTTTATATTAGATTGTATTTTTTAGTAATTTAGTGATTGTATTTGTTATTTAGTATATTGTGTTTTTGTTTTTTTGTTTTTTATATATATATTTCTCCTTGTACTTTGTGACCATTTTCTTTCCCTCCGGGGATTGTGTAAGAGTCAATAAGTAAATAAATAAATAAATAAATAAATAGTTAATACTACATGGAGAACTTTCTCGTTCTAGTAGGTGAGTGAGCTGTATATATTATTAGATTCCTGTCCGTCCAAGACAAAGTCATTACATTTTTCACAGGAGTAAATTACTGGGATTCCACTTTTTCTAAAACTGATATAATTTAGGAAATTCAATATAAAATGTTGACACTCATTGTGCACAATGACAAATGCAATGGATATAATGCAGGGTCATACAAAATGCTGTACTGTAGAGATTTGAATTTATCATTGTGACAAGTAGTTGATTGCACATTATATAATATATTTTAAGGAAGCTAGGTACACATGTTTGCTGACATCATCTTTATTTATTAGTTGCATTGACCTGTATTTGACAAACTTAGTGTTTACTTTAGTGTGATTTCTATGTTTGGGGGTTAAGTTCAGCTAAGCACCAACGATTCTGAAGTGCGGAAAATCTGAATGACTATATAGCCATGAAATCTGCTAATAGGACAATCAGTTTTGTCATCGTTGTACTATGTTTCGATACCGAATTGTTACAAACATGAAAGATGTAAAATACTTTCTCTCTCAACTTTCTTATCTGCCATTTCTTGACAAAGATCGTACTTCAACATCAATAAAAGTCTTCAGAGTTGTGCTCACCATTGCTAATATTCAAAATTTCAAAAACTTTTCAGCAGTACCGCACAACATTTTGTGTTTGTGTCAGACCAAAAAACTATAAACTTGTAACAATGATGGATTCTAGCTGTATCTGATGTGTAGCATATTTAACAATACTGTACTTACTCAAACACCATATCTTTTTTGTGTTGTTTCTCTTGGCGATTTTCTGTCTCTATAAAAGTTTGAATTTGTTGTTTAGCTGGAAAGAAAATACAGCAATGCATAAAATTTTCGCTGACAGAAAAGTTCACAATTTGACCATTTAGTGGCATTCACAGGGACTAGATTTTACTGAATACCTATAAAATTTCCTGATTTTCCAACACACGTTTCAACAATAGAGACTAGATCAAAAAAATTCTAATTTTTTACCATCACAATCAAAGAATTCATATCTTCCCGACAGCAAAAGAACACCAAGCATTATACCAACCTTTGAAATAGTCTTTCCTCCCTGCCTGCTTCCTAACTGGAGGGTGAACATTCTTGTTGGTTTCTTGTAGTTTCTTAAATAATTCATATTTCTTCTGAGGGTCTATGGAACACAACAAGATGCATGTTGAATCATTACAAAAGAAAAGTAAACAAGTAAGCAGCATGCCCCCAAAAGCCGTGGATCTGCTGTGATGCAACTTGTTATGCTAATTCACTGGCGTGAAACAGGAAATCGTACATTGATATAGTTATCTTAAAAAACATCTTTCTATACTTACAGAATTTGTAATTTACTAAAAAAAATAATAAGGAAAACTATGGAACACAATATTTTCATTTGTGCCTTAAGTATCCCACACAGCCACATACAATTGTTTTTGTTTTTTCATGAGGATCTCTCTCTCCAGCAGTCAACAAACTGACTCAACTTGATTTTGACGACTCCATTTTGACTAAGGATTCCTACAAAATCAGACTTAAGGGCACACTGCAAGGTATTGCATTACAGAATGATGTAGTTATGAATGCAACATGTAGATGAAGCATTGGTGGAGTGGCTCATTAGATAGATCACATATTATTATTCTGATTTACATGAACACACTTTCACTGTTTAGTACTACCGGTACTACTAGAAGAAAATGCATTATAGTCAACAAATAAAATAATACCTATTATTTTCTTTTTCCTTTGCATTTTCTTTGCCCGTTTTAACATTAGTTCTGCAGTTGAAGAATCCTTAAAACCCCTAGAATTAGAATGGTGATGAAACAATTCAATGTCAACGTTTGCTTCACGAATGAACTTGACTCAATGTTGCACTAGCAATACTGATAATTGTCTATTTTGAAATGAGACATATCCAATATATGGCCATCCATTTTATGGCAGTCAGGGATTGGGATCACATCTTTCCATGACCTGAACGATCATTGATATATTTTTTTTTTATTGATACATGTATCATAGTACGTATATGGAGAATAGACAAGCACACACAAAAAGCGAAACAAAATGGTCATTAGTTGGCCCCATCAAGTTATGAATGTATGGTCTTCAGAAAAACATAGACATGTTGAAACAACATGTATTAAAGACATATACAGCAGTCAGTGGGGCATACCGGTATTTGGTTAGATCACACAACAAAATGGTTGTACATATATATATATATATATATATATATATATATATATATATATATCAGTGAACCCTTGTGTCTTTTATCAATACAATTGTTTAACAAGATCAGGCAGATTACATAAAAAAAAATTGTTTCTTGCAAAAAATAGCAAAATAATTGTGTGTTTTTTTCAAAACATCAGTATGGTTATTCGGAATGAGCACTATATAACAAATACAATTGATATATACATAAATGCCAGTGTATATTTTTGAACACCACAGGTGATAGTTATATTACTTACCATTCCTCACTGAGTTTATCCTGTTTACTAGAAGCATGTGTCCTGGGTGAAAATCCAGTGTCTCCACTCAGGCTAGAACCTGGAGGTAAAGGGGGCCTGCCCATGGGAGTAATCCGGCCTCCTCGGTTGTCAACAAGAGGAGAGTTAGCACCCCTCCAGGCATTCCTGGGAGGGTGTGGTTGCACTGGAGGTGTTGGTGGGAGCACAGGGTGGTTCATAGGAAGTCGTGGAGTCTCAGGTGGAACCCAGCCTTGATCAAAGTTTTCCTAGAGAGACAAGAGAAATTCACATCATGATGAATCTCTGAGAATACAGATAAGGTTGAAGCATCAAAAGTACTGATTAATCTACAACAGCACTGTTACCTCATTAAATTCAAAGGAGGACAGATCAACCTCTCCGAATAACACATCATCGTCTTCATCAAATCTAACAGTTCCCCTGAATTCAGAAATTCTACGTCTGATGTAGCAGCCTCTCCACCATGCCTGTCATCAATGGGAAAGAATGAAACAAATGAACTTTCGTTAAACATACTATTTTGTACTTCAATAAATGTACCATATATTACAACTGATGCTGTAAACTGAGATTTTAGGATTTTATGGCATTCATGAAAATAAAATTCTGCAAAAGTCACTGGCACTCAATGTTTTTCACTACAAAATTTTACAACTTTAATTTGACTCACAAAAATGTGTCTCTGGTTTCTTGGTTTACAGTAAATCTTGTATGCATGCTTTTACAGATTTCATAGTATGCTTTCAATCCAGAAAATATCATCTCGTCTTTGAACATTTTTTTTATGACAAAAACATAATATTTAGACTTGATTGAGGGTTGTGAAGTAGAGTAGTTGTACCAAACTACAGAAAATACCTGTATCGTTGTTGCAGCCATGTATTCCAATGGTGATTCATTAAGCTGGTTTGCCATAGCATTCTGTACATTTATGTGTGTAATCGTCTGTTCTCTATTAGATGGGTAAGATGACACTGGCGCAGCATCCTGATTTCTAATAATGTGGTGATGTGCTAGCTGTTTTCTGACTTGACACCCTCTCCAGTACGACTGTATCACTGTTGCTGCAAACCATTTTTGCATGTGTATGTCAATCTCACTGCGAACACAGTAACCTCGCCATGCTGCTTGGATCTTGGTTGCCGCACTGCAAACAAAAGACAATCTATTCATATAAGGCTCCTATCTATGCATTTAATATATGTTTGAAAATCTTCACGGCATAGATATGTATAAGACAATTTAAGATTGAAATGTACAGAAACACTGATGTACAAACCCACTGGTACTGAATCATATATCATGTTCGTCATACACTTTGGAATTAACACAGAATTCACGATTGTGTGTTGTTCTCAATCCATGAAACAATCTTTTAAAACACAATCGTTAAGACAGCATGAATGGACAGGCAAGGTCAAGTTTAAGTCAGCATACTTACACATGGAACTGCTCTTCACCATCATGCTCCATTTTCTTTCCAACCATGTCAGCCGTCACAGTGAATGTCACCTGCTTATCTGGTTTATTCTTGGTAGTACTTGTGTAAAGCTCTTCTGATGAGTCAGCCATGGTGCTATCCACAGCGAGTTCCCCATACTCGTGTGTGTATCTGTGTTGAACAGCTAACTCATACACTTCATTGAAATGCTGTGATTTCAAATCAAGTATTCTGTTCATATTCCCTTGGTGTCTCTGCCTGGCTTCCCTAAAGGATAGAGATAATTATTATCACTTGGTATTTAAAAAAAACATTGAATCCATCAGCAGCTATTAAAATCTATAATGCCAAGGTTTTCATGTCACCTTCTTGACTTTCTCAGGCTGCCAATGCACATGAACTACATGCATACTCTGCCATAGATGTCACATCCAATATTTGGGAATACTTTTTATGTGTTGTGAAACCATGATATTACTATATGAACTACTTTCATTGGATTAGCCACAGCTTTATGAAACATATGACAATTATCTCATCATATATATCTTAAAATTCTCATCTGAATTTTGCTATTTGATTGATTGTGAAGACAAGTAGTACATTGTATATAAAATAAAGTAAAATAAAAACATCAATGCTGGCACGCTACAGAGCAACGTTGTCGGATCCAAGTTTAAAAGTTGAATATGCCCTGATATGTACCCACTGATATATTTGTTATAACAATTTTTCCTCAGAAGATTCTTTGGTTATACATGCTACATGCAAAATAGCAAATTTGATCAGTTTAAGCATTCATGCGACACAAATGCCCCAAATTGTGGCGATTTTTGCTGAAAATCTAAGGCGGTGGCAAATCCATGTGACTGATCAAAATTATTTTAATAATTAGCTTTTTCATAATAAGCTTCTGCCATACATTCTACATGCAAAATATCAAGTTGATCGGTTGAAGTATTCCTGAAAAACAAATGCCCCAAGATGGCGACCAAACCATGTGACTGATCAAAATTATTTTTATTTTTCCCCTAAGAAGCTATGGCCCTATATGCTACATGCCAAATATCAAGTTAATTGGTAATGAAAAACAAATACTTTAATACATACTTAGATAAAAAGTATTAGTATGTCTGACTTACTGTATCTGCTTTCTGTGTTTTGTTTGAAGGTTATCTTGTAATTTAACTTGGGAATGACACATGGCTTCAAAGCTTGATAATAATCGAAACTGGTCGGCTGATGATTTAGGATTCAAGTCTTCGGAGTCAAGCCTCTGTAACCATGGTAACTGAGATACGATGACTGATCTGCAATGTAATAAAATATGGTTATCTACAGGAAGGTCCCACTACAAGAGTAATGTATACGAGTGAATAAGAGTAACTAAATCAGTCTTGACCCAGTGATAATTCTTGAAATAAATTGCTATGAGTGTAAATTTCATGAGCGAGAAATGTACCTGTATTTAGTTTCTTCTGTAACCGGGTTACCTTGAACCACTAAATCTTGCAATCTGTAACATTCACTGATACCCGACGTGACGCTAGCAACATCTGACAACAAAATGAAATAAAGTGGTCTAATTGTACAACGTAAAGTGGTCATTTTTCTTCTGATTCATTCTCTACATATTATTGCGCCTGGTGACAATTCCCGACAGTGAATACCACTGTTGTCTCTACATGTCTGGGACTATATGACAGGATGTGTGACTATTTTCCAATCATAAACAGTATAATCCTAAAGTACTCATGGCTTATTCCATTACAAATTGCATTCATATGACTAGAATATCATGCAACCGTAATCCACAATGTCCTTTATTCTACACCAACATCCCTTTATACAAAGCCAAGGCCATTTGAATGTCAATCTGTGAATTATTTTAAGTAAATGTGTAATGTTTACATTTATTGACACAAAATTACATATGGTTAGAAAATTCTGATGAGCACAAATGAGATTTGTAGAGGTAACTTGCAGCTTTGCTGGAAAAGTCCCTATTAATGTTCCTATAACCTCAAATCAAATTCTCCTAGCAGTGACTGCAAATAAGATTCATACAGATAATTTACAATGTCCTTTGTATAGTCACAAGAACGTTGCAATATGAAAACAGACGAAAACTTAGTACGTACGTAGGCATAGTACGTACCTAGACAAAAATTAATCAGTCCAAAAGTGGCGCCAGGGGAAGTGAGATTGTCACTAAATGAAGCAAATCATTTTCATAATATTACTAACATCATTTGATAGCACCTATAACAAATCCCTCACTACAGTGTATATTGAAATTTTCATAGGGAGTTTGCTATTGAACTTCCTGTACGAATCTTGTTTGCACCTGCTGTAACATGAATTAGTTCAAAAAATGCTTATGTTTATCTTTGAAGAAACAAAAGTTGATAATTTGTGTAAAATACAAGCACGAAATTCATTACTCACCATCTATACAGTTATGGCTGATGTCCAGTCTTTTTAACAGTAAACAGTTGGAAAGGGACGGAATTGTAGTTAAACTGAGAAGAAAATAATAACATCAATCAGCAACGTTTGGTAAACATAAACAAAGAGTTCTGGAATTGGGTACTCAAGTAACTACACAAGTAACAAACTTCTACCACTTTCCTTGCAAGTTGCAGTAGTTGGACTTGGTAGTAGTAGTATTTGGTATTGTGTTGGATAGTGTGTACAGCAGTGATTTCATGACTTGCCTGTTTTGACTGACTGATAGGTGTTCCAGTAATGGCAACCATGCCTTGGAGAGGTTTTCTAATGAACTTAAACTATTGTCATCTAAAAATAATTGCCGTAACAACACATGGTTCTTTAAAAGAGGAGGCTGAAAAAAAGATATACAATATTATAAGTAAATATTATTTGTATGCAGTAAGCATTGTATATGAACTGAAACAAAGATGCACAGTTTGTATGTTGCTTTCACCAGTCCAGGTTTATTAAATCAGCCAGTGAATAATGGTTATCCTATTTTTTTATTTATATTTTTTTATGGTTATTTACTTTTCATACAAAGCAATAAACTGGGTAAAATCCAATTCTGGATCTGCTACTGAATAATCTGAAAACACACACAAAGATTACATTTGCAAATACTCACTGTTTTAACCTTTTGGATGTTCAAGACAACGTTTTTCACTTGCAGTTTTTCCCAATTTTTTTTCCATTTTGTTTATCAAAACCAAAATTATGTCCATCGCACAAAAATTACAGCCACAAATAATAGTCAGTTATCATTGAAAATAAAGCCCCATAATCCACCTTACCTCTTGTAGATTATTTCCTGTTAAATTCAAAGTCTTCAAAAGGCAGCATTTTTCCAATTCCTGTACATTGTTGAGGTGATTATGAGACAAATCCAATATATGAACGGATGGTGTACAATTCATACCCCTGGTGCTGATCAGCTGATTGTGATCCAGTAACAGTCTGGTAAGTTTACTACAGGAATCTAATCCACCTGTAATTGAGGGATAAAAAAAACGTATCCGACTTCATTCTATCATGTATGTATCACTTGTCACTACACATTATGTACAAATACTGTGATTCTTGCTAGTATGGAGCAAATGATTTGCTGGTTAACTGTACAAGGTAAATCAAATTAATCCAATCAGTTTACAGGAAACAACAACGCTATAGAAAGTCATGATGGTTGTGTTTTGCCTTGTGTGCAGTGGTTGGTTGACAAAAATAAAATAATGATTTTGTTTGCTGCTACATGTATCAAAGGACAATAATTGTCGTGAAACACATTTTTGAAATTTTGTGTGAACAAACAATGCATGGGTACATGAGTTCTATATGTCACAAAGGATTATTATATCAAACATTTAATAAATATACATAATTTATACTGTATATGTTTGTGTTTCAGTTTCATAAAAGTTTGTGCTTCAGTTTAATAAAAGTTTTTGCTTCAGTTTGACATACAAATACTGGTTGAAACCAAATTTTAACATAATGAGTCATGTTACACCAGCCATTAGTGATAGTGGGGGAACAGATGTAATATCATGCCATCATGTCTCAACAGTAACAAGGTAGTAAAATATCCACTCACCAATTCTAGTTATTCTATTATTTGAGAAGTCAGCAACTCTAAGATCAAGGCATCCATCTAATCCATGAATACTACTAAGGCAGTTATTTGACATCTGAACTTCTTGTAGTTTTTGTAAATCTTGGCAATTCAAACACTCAACTTTATTATGCTGAAGAGTAGATTTATATATTTTGTATGAGACAAATAATTATTGAATTGAAATGCACTATCACCAGTGACAAGCACTGTCCCAACAGTTTAATTTCCACTTGCTTGAAATTTTTGCAATTTTGATGAATTAATGAACAAAATCAAATTGAATCAAAGCATATATAAACAAGGGACAATTTGCTAAATCGAAAAAAAAAGTGACAACAAACAAGTTTTTCTCCGATTGATCTGACTATTAGGTGTTAGGGTCGGATAACCAATCAGACACAATCTTGTAAGTAAGTAGGTTCCATATTGACCCCCAGTAAAATTTTCAGTATGACAAAGATATCTGGATTCTCACAATTGAATAGTGAGATATTAAAATTCCTAGCAATATCAGTTTGGATAACATAAAGTTTCTAACAAAGTTTACTGAAAGTTTATATATATAATGTATCTAAAAATAAATGCAATACCGAAGGTATTACACATAAAGGTTTACACATAAAAACTATACTAGCATGATTTTTACAGGTGAACACTTGTGAAATCATAGTGGCTATAATAATGTAGGTCTCCAAGGCTTCAACAGTAAATAATTTCAATATTTTTGCACTGGTCAAACCATGGCAAAGAGAGAATGGATGCTCCCAAACACAGCCATGGATCAAGTGCTATCTGCTTCCACAGATTTTCAATGAGATCAGTTGCTCTCAACAGCTACTTGACCACATCACAAAATCCACATTAAAAAGGAGTGGTCGTCGTGCTGCGCATGTGTGACATTTGCGTTGATAAACATTGATTTTCCCACAATCCAATACGCTCTTCTAATGAAAATTACAAGTATGAGGTTTGACCAGGGTGCGACTTGCACTAATTACCGCCGGTGACTCCTTCAATACTTTCCAATCACCTAAAAATACCTAATTAAAGCTTGGTAACGTCTCGGTTTGTACTCATTGATCTGCGCAACAGCCAAATTCGCCATCTTTGTTTATATGAGACCCATATATCTCGCTCATGTGTGGCGCGACGACTACCGCCCTTTGAGTTTATTCACAATACAGATGACAATGTAAAACCTACCTGTAAATTCAAATGTTGCAATTCTTTACAACTGTTCATACCATCAGTTGACACAATACCACACTGTACAAGTGAAATTGATCTAACTAATGGACAGTGTTGTAAGCTACACATATTGCAGCCATTCAAACCATGAACTTGAACAGTAATCACCTGAAAACAACAATATCCATTCATTAAATACATTTACTTGTATTATATCGACTTCATTTCTTTAAACCACTTAAGGCCTTGTCTATTTTTGTAACTCCACACGTGGCTTTTTGCCTCTATGTGTATAAAATTTAGTAATCATCAGTAACAGTCATAGATTTTGTTTCTCATTCAGATTCTAATTGCCACTGAGTGACAGTGTTTTTCTCATGCATATTAGTATAATAACCACAGTTTAGGTTCATGCATATTAAGATCAGTAATTTGCACACTTTTTTTAGTGTCAATTACTTCTGAACTTAGAGCTTGGCTAAATGTGAAGATTTGGAATTTTAGAATGAAAGTTCTTTCTTTTGGACACACAAACAATCTTGAAAAGTCCCAATACACATTGCCATATAGCGAGGGACTTTCCTATTGGTACTATCAAATAAAAACTATTTGTTATATTTTGTAATTTCACTCCCACTTGATTTTGGAGCATTTAATTTTTGTCTTGGTACATACTAGTTGGTATAACTACTTGTCTGTTTTCATTTATATTAAATCCATGCCACAGTAACATTCAAATAAACGTTTTGCTTGTCACATTTCTATATTATTATTTCATTATATAAATCAAAAAATGACTGACCACACCTTCAAAAATGCAGTGATTCACACCCTGATTCATTGCACATTGTGCAAGTTACACCCGTGTCCCAATCACAACTGTGTATGTTAGTCAAATGAACTAGTTTCAGATTAACTTCTAGAATCGACAGAATGTAACAAACCGATCTCTCATCTGATCTGACTGTTATGTATTATGATATGGTAGCCAATCAGGCACAATCTTTTAAACAGCTTTGCAGTGACTCTTATGTTGTCCGACATAAAGTCCAGACATAAAGGCTATCCATTGGTACACAAAATTAGTTTCAAATGCCTAGAATTTGCATATGAAAACTACCAACATAGAATGTAACCTAGTGTTATTTTTTTTCCTAGATTCTGGTCCAATCACGCTTCCCAAACCATGAATGAAATCACAAAATAGTCAGAACTACCGGTTTATGAACTTACATCTTGTAAATGCGTATGAGGTGACGATGCTTGCAGTATCTCGTCCTCAGATAACTCTGGTAAATTCTTTGCAGACATTGGTCTTTTTCCTCCCCTCACTGGTACATGCCTCCTAGACTTGCTCTTAGACTCACTGATCACTTTACTGAATTCAAATAAAACATTATTTATAGCTTAATAACTATATACATTTGCATGTGACTGACTACCATATTCCTTTCATCAACTGGACCAAAAAACAAATAACTATTTTTGTAAAAGGCTGAGTTGTTCTGAGTATGAAATAGATGTGGTAATTTTCAACAGAAAAAGTATGAACTAGGGAAACAAAACACAGAAAGACTTCAAGATGTAACTAGTTATATTTCTTGTTTACAAGAAGAACAATCAAGGTGGATTGATAGCACATGGATGTGGCCATTTTCTATCAGGTGGTTGAATTGATGAAGAAAAATAAAGAATTTTATTATTAGCAAATAGAAGGATTATTGTATACCCTAAAGTAAACTAGGTATTGATAAACACAATTTGCAAAAGATGCATAACTAATACATGTATTACATAATGCAGTGGTTCTGGGATGCCAGTCAATATTGTAAAGGTTGCTAGTATTGTTGATTTCAAATGATCTTGCCACAAGTTTTGTGAATGCCTCCCACCACATATTAGCTATACCGACATTATACTGCTATGCTCATCTTTCATTCATGTACTCCAAATAATGTTGCATGGCATTTCAAAAACAACACAAAGACATACATGTACTAGTATGCAAGATGACCCACACTCTGTAAATGCCATTGCTATACCACATCTACACATGTAGCACCAAAAAAACAATTGAATTTGCGATTCTGAAAGACCATATCATCACTCCAAAACGTACAAGAACTTTCAATTTTCCCTTATATTGAGTAAACCACTTCACCCACATTGATCTGTTACAGATTATTGACGTCACATTCACACAGTTGTCTTGGTTTACATTGAATGCAGAAGCACTATAGCACACGATGAAAATAGAATCCCGTCACTGAATGCAAACATTCACACAACGTAAACAGTTTATCAAGCTATAATCTCTCATTCAATTACAATGACAACTAGGAAAAAGATTTACAATAAATAAGGTTATCACAAGAGTACCGATATGTGTTGATCGATATGATCGCCATACTGCCTTGAAATGAACAATGAAATGAACATGAAATTACTACCTATCATACTTACCTCCAAGGAATGCAATTTTCCATCCATTGCAACCTTTGACTTTCCAAGTGTTGGGGCAGCATATCAAACATGGTAACATTGGATGCAGAGTTCTCCTCTAGTTCAACATTGTTTGTTAATGAATCTACTTCCTTACTAGTCCTTGATAGAACAAAAGTTTTATCCTTTTCCTTTTTATCATTATTTGGTTTATTCCTGGCACCTAGGTCTTCAGTGTCAGACCTTGTTTCCAAAATATTCTGATGCACAGATGCACTTTTTCTATTAACTGTCCCAGCCTCCATCAGCTTTGCATCAGTACTTCCAATTTGGTCCTGAATTTTCCCTAAAATTTTTTCAGCTTTAAGCTCAATGTCATCCTTTTTTTTGCTATTCATGTGTTGTTCCTTTTCCAGTTGTTCTCTAAGTCGCCTCTCTTTTTCCTCTTTATCATCTTTTGCATTCTTTTTCCTATGTTAAAGACAAATTATGAACTACTTTTCAAAACGACACAATAGATCAAACTAGAATTAACTCATAAATCTACTTTCATCTTCCATACAGAATAAGATTCTGAAGTCACCTTTCTTCTTCTTTACTCTTCTGTTCTTGTATCTTCATTTTCTCATCTTCCATCCTTTTCTTTTCTATTTCAGCCAGATGTTTGGCTTCCACCTCTTTCCTCAACCTTTCGTTCTCTTGCTGTATTCTCTCTTCCTCTTCCCTTTTCTTTTGTTCTTCCTTTTCCTTCATTTCTTTTTCTGCCTCTTGCCTTTTCCTTTCCTCCTCCACTTTCCTCCTCCTTTCCTCTTCCTCTTTCTGTTTCCTCTCTTCTTCCTTTATGCGTTCCTTCTCCTTTTCTTCTCTTTTTCTCCTCTCCTCCTCCAACTTTCTCTGCTCTTCCTCTTCTTTCTTCCTTTTCTCATCTTCCTCCTTTTTCTTTTTGATGGCTAACTCCTTTTTTCTTTTCTGCTCTTCTTTCCTTCTGTTTTCAAGTATTTCCACTTGTCGTTCCATCTCTACTTTTGTCTTTCTTTCCTCTCTCCTCTTTTTCAATTTATTGATGTACGGTTTTCTTACCCTGCAATAATGAATGGTTATTAGTTAGTGTTCTGAACTATCGTAATCACAGGAATTATAAGCCCTAACATCCTCAATCTGAACACAAATTTTATTATGACAGAGCTTAGAGTAATTGTTTGGTGGTACCAGACAGAAGTGAACGCTTAATTAATTATACGTATGGTAACAGCTTTCTGTCATAAGCTGTTAAACTTTTACACAATTTGTTCCAGGGTCTCTATTTTACAAGAATCACTACAACTGTGGAGGTTGCGCTAGCCTTTTCAACAGCACATCCTAAAATGCTTATAGTCCTAATAGATGTGTTCTACGTTTAATCTCCATGTCACCAGAGTAAATGTGAACTAGTCATTAATTTTGTTACACGGTCATCAATTTTACATGATATTTTACTGTGACAAAATAACACAATTAAAAAAAAATATAATTGTTAAATTGATTGGCGTAGAAGCTTCAAAGTAAAGGTGATGGAGCGTCTCTCATTTTGTTACCGTTTGGACGAAACACTTATTGTTAGTTAACTTGCTACTAATTTGGGATAATTACATACATACGTCCATTCTTGTGTGTAAATACATCCAAACACTTGTCGTTAAGTTGATGCATCAATATGAATGTGTGTGCATCTTTAAGAACATGTTTTTCTGAGTTATTCCAAAAATTTACATCACTGGGTAATGCGATCTCTTTAACCCCCTGCCAAATGAATACCAGTGACATTTTCACTGATACAAAATGTTGACCGACTGAATTCATCTCTTCTGAAATTTAAGCATTGTTTTACAGTATATTTTGTACCAGAATGGGAAAAGTATGATGTGCATTATATAAAATGCAATGTAACACTATATAAATGGTAGTAACATAACCAATCATACACTGTACACACAAGGCAAAATGAAAAGCATGAGATATTGAATGAGAGACTACAGCTGATATTCACTGTTATAGTCTGTGAACTCACATTCTGAAAACACAGTTTCAAATTATTATTTTACAATTTAATCTGAGGTATTTAACTAACCGATAGGAACGGTATGTGGCTTGGATTTTCACAGCAGCTCTAATTATCTTGTCATTTGTTTCCTTTCTCTGTTTTTGGAGTTGAATTTCAAGTTCTTCTTTTTCTTTGTGTGTCTTCTGATCTAATTCGTCTATGTTAGCCTGGAATTAATTAAGTAAATGTTTAAGCCATTTGATAAAAAAAATATAGCTTGTGATTAGTAGTAGCCCAAGGTACACATTATTGTTCTTGCAACTGCTGACAATACATATATGGAAATATGTATAGTGCATGTTTCAAAAGAAACCATATCCATATGTTTGCGACTACATGAAACAGCTGGGCAAATATCAATTTCAGGAGCTATCCTGGTGTCAAGAAGTTTATGCAGACCCACAAAGTTGCATCCGCTAATGAATGAACATTGGTCGGTAGCTTTTAATATGAACCCTATCTGTGGCACACTCATCCAGGGTTTAAAGATGATCTCTTCTGTGATGTTCAACCCCAAGCATGGATTAAAAATTACCTACCTACTACCTACTAATCATGGCCCACTAAAGGATTCTTGTCCTAGGATTTCCATATTACAAAATTAGTAGCTAAACTGGTATGGTATATTAATGTACAATTATGCAATTGGTCTAAAGTGATATATCAGTTTATTCTACATAAATTGAGCAATGACATATGTGTACTTATGTTCATTATTCTGTTGCTGCAAATACCATGATGGACTAAAGATAATATGACCATGGACATGCAAAGGAGAGTTAAATAAATTTTAAACCCCAAAAATGCATGCAAAATCTAAGCTAACTTTGACAAACTTACAAAGACTAATTAAGTAAAACACAGTGACATGACATCCACATAAAATGTACTTTAACAATTTAATTTATAATTAAAATATAAAGCATACCTTATATTCACTCAACATCACTTCCATTCTCTTTGTGTCTTCTTCAAATTCTTTTTCAATTTTATTTTCTTCTTCAAGAAGTTTTTGTTTCATTTCTTTCTGCTCGTTGTCATATTCTTGAAACTTCTCTCGTCTGATTCTACTGATTCTTTGATCTTGTTTTTCCATCTCATCTTTTTGCAACTCGTATTCCATCTGTCTTCTTTCATCTTTCTCTCTCTGTTTCTGCATCAGTTCTTTCAGCTTCTCTCTGGCTTCTCGTTCCATCATTGCACTTTCTGTTACAACTGCTACAGTCCACATTTTTTTATCTGTGAAAATTCAACATTAGAAACAAAATTTACAAACTGACCACCAGCACGCATGCTTGGAGTGTTTTTTTCAAAGAATGTACTACCTAAATGTTGTATTGTCCTGTAACAATGTGATATTATATCTAAAAGTTCTGGACAAAAAAATACTTGCTAAAATTTAGGTGTGAACACTCCTGACAATCAACATAATGACATAAAAAAAATTAATATTTATATTCCTCAAAAAAATACTACATGTTCTGTACTGATCATAATGTCCCTTAATATAACAACAATTGTATAAAAGTTCCTAAAAATTTGGCAAGAAAAATACTTAATAATATATGTCTTTCAATTAATACTACATACAGTACTGTATAAATGTCCCTTATAGAATAATATACCATAACATGAATTGTATAAAAGTTTCTAAAATAATTACCAATGGGTTTATCAATTAATAAATAAATACATACTTGTGTATTACTACTTACTGACTCTTATAGAATAATATAACATGAATTGTATAAAAGTTCCTAAATAATGGTGCAGTGATATATACATTGTATATATACCGGTAAGCAAAAAAAAAATACTAGCCAGATTTCAAAAAGGCAGGAAAGCAACACTGTAACTTGACAGATATTGGAGAACATTTACTAAAACCTAGTTTTCATTATTAGTAACATAATTGCTTCATTCTTTCCACTTATTCCCACGTCTCTAACAAATGTTTTATTTCACCTAGAAAATTGCACCTTCCAGTGACACCAAAAATCTTATTTTCAGCCTTAGAAGAACATCTCCAATAAAAGTGCACATAAACATGCATGCACTAATAATATCATATTAACTTATGACAATGATATGGTATGGAATATATATAGTTCTATTGATTTCTTAACTAAAACATTTCTGTTTTAAAATAATTGTTTAGGTCCAAGAATTTAAAAAAAATCACCAACTGTTTTAACTTGGACTTTCACTATCACAAAGAAAGACAGTATTTACACACATACACATGTACCTGTTACTTCTCCATTTACCAGTGCAGTAGCACCTTTCAGTTGAGATGGTGTTTCATTTGTGTCACCACTATCACAAAGAAAGATAGCATTTACACACATACAACAAAACTAAAACAACAAACTTGGCCGAAAGTGGGTTCGAAATGCAAATTAATAAAGTAAATGTTAGGATTACTTATTTAGATATCTGTGAGGTATGTTTTTTTTTTAATTTGCTTTCTCTTAGGTTGACTTCTCCATTTACCAGAGCAGTACCCGGTAGCACCTTTCAGTTGAGATGGTGTTTCATTTGTGTCACCACTATCACAAAGAAAGATAGTATTTACACACATACAACATGTACCTGTTACTTCTCCATTTACCAGTGCAGTAGCACCTTTCAGTTGAGATGGTGTTTCATTTGTGTCATCAACCGTCAAAAATGTTTCCTGTGCATCCTCAATTTCGCCATTTCCATTTTCATCCATTTCATCTTTCTCCTCCTCTTTCTCAATTTCTTCCATCACCTCAAGAGATTGATGAAAACAAAGATGATTCACCAACTAAATAATCTTATTCAAATACTCCACATTGAGTTGTGTTTTAAATTGTTAGTGAAGCTGGTTAGACACCATGTGACCAAATCTACCTAGAGTATTAATTGTGAACATTAAATGTCGCCCACGGTATATACATGTAATTTTATATCAAGAAAATTATTCATAACCAGTCAAATTGTAAACATTCTTAGTTTAGTATGTGTATGTTTCAGTAAACTCACTCTATCATACAGCAACTCAGGATCCTCCCCGATAGTAAACGCAATTTCTTCAATTGCTTTTGATACTGGCTGATCTCTGGCATCCACAAATTTACCTACCATAAAAATGTAAAAAGAGACTTATGTGAAGCGTAGCACAAAAATCACAAAACATACATCATACATACAAACATACTGGCAAAATCAGGTAAGAATACTACAATCAACAACCAAAAAAAACAATAATATAATCAGTGTTTGCGTTGTGTTACTTGCAAGCACATCCATATTCTATACATGTATTTAAAACATAAATCACGAGAATAACCATTGTATGTACATTTGTCTTCCACTTTTTTTAAGATAGCTGTACAATCATCAATCTCTTTCATGACTCCTTCAGATCTACTTTGCACTCGTTCAAGGTAGGCAGTGACAGAATCAGGAATCTCATCATAATCATCTTTCTCCTCCTCCTCCTCATCTTCATCAAGATCCTCCTGACAACAAAACAGAGATTTTGTTTAAATCAATATTTATTGCACACTACATACAACTACAAAACTATATAAGGATGTCATCACCAACAGTTTCTGTATAACCCCTTAGACCACTACAACCAATTGTGTGTGCCTTTCAAAGCAATGAAACAGGCTTGTTTTTCTTTTACAAATTTGAGTTATTCAACATACATGTAATAATAATAATAATAATAATAATAGTCTTTATTGAAGTCATATCCTAAAAATGCATGTATGTAAATAGGTCTCCATGTGGTAGTTGAGCGCGGTAACTGAGCGTCTCAGTTTTCACGAAGATACGAGTTGAGCGTACGCTCACTTTCAAAAGTAAGCGTGGAGCCAAACAATGGAATGCTTGAGTGTGCTCACTTTTAAAAGTAGGTGTGGGGACAAACCATGGAATGCTGGAATGAAAGCTATGCTCAGTTTAACATGAAGTTGATACAAGTTCACATATTCACAGGAGAGGACGTTTGTTAAAACAAAGCAACCATGTTTAATTAAATATTCACGCAGTTTGACTCCTATGACCTTGTAAGAAGGACGCATCAAAAAATAGTCTTCCTTTATTCATCGTCTTAGCTTTCGGAAGATGCGAGTTGAGCGTACGCTCACTTTCAAAATTGGGCATGGAGCCACACAATGGAATGCTTGAGATAGTTTACTTGTAAATTGAAGTCTTGCGGTGCAATTAACACCTCGACCGAGGTATGACCACCTTATTGTTTACTGTGTAATCGGCGGAGTTTTACGTTACAGATGGATGAATGGAGAAGTCTGTTTCTGTCACTTGTAGAAAACTAACCAGTAGAGTCCCAACACGTATGGGTGGGATCATTAGCTCCATGGTGGGATGAGAAGCGTTATATGTATCAATAAATCTGTTTCCATGTCCATTAGATAAATACGACCAAGTAAATATTGAGTTTTCATTAAAATATCAGCGTTCAAATGACTGTGCATAGCTCTGATGTTTCGCCACACGTCAAAGTATCGACTTATTTGTTGTTATCACAGTGGGTGACGGCTGTGTTTTAAATTTAGACAAAGATCATCACGCTTATAGACAAAATGCCAGTACCTGGTGATTGTTTTTTTATGCGAGGTTTCAACGGGTAGAGTTGTTTTTAATTCCAGCTGAGGTCACGAACCCAGGATTACGTTTGGTAATGGACACTGTGACGCCATGTCCAACATTGAAAGCCAACGACTACCCCCACCATGCCCACCCCAGGCCCTGTTTAAGGAATTGAACGGTTTCATAGTACCTTTTCAACAAATAGATTGATAATTGCCGTCACTATTTTGTTATAGTTTTAGGAAGTGTTAATAAATATTGTTTCGTCACATTGCTACATTTATTTTGTTATTGCACGTCATATTTAATTGAGGTAAGTATATTTGACTAATGAAGATGGAAATACATGTTATCAAATATAAAATCGAGAGGGGGTACAATTATGCGAAGTACTGTATGCATGGCGTCCAACTTGAGGTCGTAGAAAGAGAGCGTACGCTCACTTGTAAAAGTTGGCGTGGAAAAAACAATGGAATTACACAGATTAGGAACTACATGCATGACCCATTACAAGAAACCAGAAATATTTTATGCACAATTTAGTCGATGTACATGTGCAATTACAAATATATCAAGATTGCTGATCATTTTTCATAATTTAACTTTTGTGGTTTCAAAATAGTTATTTGTGTGTGCATGTGGTGGTGGGGATGGGGGTATTTTTGCATTGTTTTTATTTGTCGGCATCTATAATGATGCTCAATGATTATACAACCGTTTTCAAACGTATTTTTAACGTTACAGAGAAGCAATGTAAAGCAAAGTAACAGAAAAGCAGCATATGTCTAAATGGCGACCAATGTAGTCTCGATCAAATGTGTATTTTATATGTAAATTTATATTTTCATGAGGGTGAGCCAATCGAAGCCAAATGATTCGTAGCTGTACAATCACGGAATGATTCACGTACAATGCATAAATATCGCGACATGCAAATTTGCACTACCATTGCTGTAGTATCAATCTATGACGGTTGATCTGGACATATGAGCAAAATGGTAATGTAAATTTCATTAATAAAACAACATTGTATGTGTGGACACTTTCACTTCATGCAAGTGTGCGCAACAACTCGTTGTCACTTAGCGTTGTTTACAGACGCCGACAAATGAAAACATTCAAGACAAAACAAACGTCAGAGTTGTAAGTAAATCTTTATTGCTATCGTATCCCATTTGAGATCTTGACATAAAATACAATAAAGTTGTAGGTCCCATGCCTACAATTACACGCAAAAGAAAGCGTAGTCTCTTATTACCAGACGCGTCCATCTTACAAGGTCATAGGGTTCAAATTGCGTGAATATTTAATTAAATATGGTTGCCTCAATTTTAACAAATGTTCTGCTCATGTGAATCCAGACCTCTGAAACGAACTTGTATCAACTTCATGTTAAACTGAGCGTAGTTTTCATTACATCACCAGCATTCCATGGTTTGTCCCCATGCTTACTTTTAAAAGTGAGCGCACTCAAGCTTTCTATTGTTTTGCTCCACGCTTATTTTTGAAAGTAAGTGTATGCTCAACTCGTATCCTCGTGAAAACTGAGACGCTCATTTACCGCGCTCAACTACCACAAAGAGACTCATTTACATACCTCAAAAATGGACATAGATCTAAGTACAATAAAGCATGGTTGTCATTCCATGTTAGAAACATTCAGAATAAAAAAAAGAAGATACACTAGTATAAAAAAACTAAACAAAACTAAAACAACAAACTTGCCCGAAAGTTGGTTCGAAGTGCAAATTGATAAAGTAAATGTTAGGATTATTTATTTAGATATCTGTGAGGCAGCTGTTTTTTTTTTTTAAATTTTTAATTTGCTTTCTCTTAGGTTGACATTTTAGCATGACAGTATTCTTTGTGCCTAGTATGTTGATAAAGCTTGTATCAGTGTTGCCCTCAGAACACTGTCTAATTGTGTTGAGAAGGATCTGTCTTTCACGTTTGTATAACTGACATTTTAACAGAAAGTGCTCTTCATCTTCAATATCATTTGTATTGCATACAGGACAGCTTCTTTCGGTAATTTTAATTTTATGGTATCTGCCCATTTCAATTTGTAAAACATGTGCGCTTAATCTTAGTTTGGTCATTGATGATCTGTGTAGTGGGTTATTTACTGTCTGCAGATAATTTTCAAGTGGTAATTCAGTTTTTAATTTTCTATAAGTACGTGGTTTATTTCATTTTGCAACAACGATATTGGAAATGTAAGGCACACGAAAGATAAACAGTATGTGAGAGCAACGAGTACAATTCATCTATTTAGTGAAAGCTTAAAGCTTTACACAAGTAAAATTTCAATTTGGACAACTGAATCATAGATCACTTATATGTATCAGACCATAGTTATAAAGTATATAAGCAGCATACATTTCAGACAAGTGAGTTTATAGGTTAATGTCAAGCCCTGATTACTATACCATTTCCTAAGATGTTGAGAAATAAATTATAGATACCTCTTCCTCAATATCATTGTCATCATTCAAATTTCCGGGCAGTTCTAACTCATCAAGCTGTCGTTGAATTTCATCTTCAATCCAATCATCATCTTGTGGATCTTGTAACTGACGCATACTCATTCTTGTCAACTCAAACTAAATTTAAAAAGAAAATTAATTAAGCTGTGCAGTATAAGGAACATGTTGGGATGTGTTGGAGGGTAGGGTAGAGTTAGGGTTAGGGAGTACAAAAGAAACTTTTTTATAAAACACATTATAGAAGCACCGAAGTCATCAGAAATCACACGTTCAAATGACTCAGTAAATTCGTCCCAAGACATTCTTCCCATTAAGCTTTCATCCCATTGCCTTTGTTCAGTCTTATAACCTATCTTGTGCAGGATGATGTCGATTTCAATGTTGGTGCAAAGAGTTGTCAATTTCTACGTATACATACATGTACAATGTATGTGTGCTAAGCCTTGTCGTGGTGACTTGATTTCACTAGAAAGAACCGTGTCGGCTGCATGATGCATATAAATACAATTGGAAAACCTTTACAACAATATTTACTATATTTCCCGATATTCAGAATGAACCTATTTTATCATGTTTTCTAACACTTCAGCACATTTAATATAATTATACTATAATCATGAAATATGAATAACTTTATTTTACAATTGATGGATTAACATAATGCAAAGTGTGATACAATAAACGACTGCTTGGGTTCAGTCTTCAGGGTGCACGTTGACAACGACTGTGGGACAAATCGACTTGGGACAAATGTGATTTGGGATGAATCGACCGTCTACCGTTCAAACTGTGTGTAAACATGGTGTGAATGTGGGGGACGGTCGATTCGTCCCAAATCACATTCATCCCTAATCGTTTCGTCCCACAAGTCGATTCG